TACTGGAGGGTGTCTGCAAGTCCTGCCTTAGGACCCGTGCTCTGTGCCCTCCCCGCTCTGTTGACACTTCCCATCCACCCTGGACAGGCCAGCTCGGAGCACACCCTATGGTCAGGCACCTCGAGTTTGTGCACATCGCCAGCTCAGGGTCCCCAAAGTCATCCCACCTCATTTGCCTCTCCCCGCCCAAGGCCAGGACAGGGTCTCACACTGCTCGGTGCCCTTCCCGGCCACCCAGAGTCTTTCATCCTGGATCAGCTGGGTCCCGGGGAGGCGCGGGAGGGGCCGGGAGGCACAGGAGCTGTCCTGGGGCAGCCAGTGGCCTTCATTCATCAGCCCGCTTTCACTGCTCGGCCCTTTCCCCGCAGCCTCCCCGGGAACAGCAAGACCAGGGGGCCCGTGGCCACAGCCCGCGGGGAGGCGGCTGCCACCCAGTCAGCTTTCTCCTGAGCCAGGGTCACCGCCCCGTCGGCCTCGGGCACAGTCCCGCCAGGCGCCTCCTCACCTGGGTCTCGTTTTTCCAGTGGCACTGCTGGGTCCAGGCAGTGACACAGGAGGAGGGAAGACACCCGCAGGGGAGACCCAGATTCTTTTTGGTTGCCACAGAGGGACCGAGGTTTGTTGAAACCTCCAGGCCTCGCTCCAAGTGTCAGCATCCAACCCAGATGTTGTCACACAAAAAGTGGGGTTGCTCAGCACCCTGGCCCCCCACTCGGGGGCAGCACCACTTCCACTCTGGGGAGTGTCCTGCTGACGAGCTCGGTCGCCGTGTCACCATGTGTTCATTCTCTACCCTCACGTGGCCCTGCAGGTGAGACGAGGAGCGGACGCCTCCCCTCCTGAGACTGCTCGCCCCTATTGCAGTTTCTCTGCCCCCAACCCAGCATCTAAACACCCTCTGAAAATTCGAGCTGCTGCTTTTAGTGCAAATGTCTGTAATATAGGTTTTAGCCCTTTCCACGAGCCGGGGAGACAGCGCGCTCCTTGCCGACCCCTTCCTTCATCAGCAGCTACCTGAGGGGCTCCAGAGTGTCGCCCCTGCAGTCGGCTGGAGTGGCCACCCCGGCAGGGGGACTGTCTGAGGAGCTGTTTCCCTGTTGGCGGCGGCTTCATCCCCTCTACTAGGTGCTTTCTTGGGTCCCTTTTAGCTTAGGAACATGCTGGTGCTGCCATTCTCCTTGACAGGGACCCTGGCTCTGTGGGGGACCCTGGCTCTGTGCAGAATCCCTCTTTCTAAGGGGATCCTCGAGCTGAGGTTATTTAAGCTTGGCGATGTCAGGGCCATTTTCCAAGGAGCCTGTCCATGAGCGAAACCAACACTGAGGAGAGGTGACACTATGAACACCTAGATCCAGCCATTCCTGACACTACGCACTTTTCTTTGCCGTGGGGCCTAAAGCAGTGACCAGCATCACTGTGTGGAACTCACTGCTCATCCAGCGTCCCTCCTCACCCTCAGTATCACTGTCCCCGACCACAATGTTGGTGCACAGACACCACAGGGGCCTAGAGCTCTGGCACATGAGCATTCGGAGCAGGGCCTTGGGCAGTGGAGTCTGAAGCCCTGACATCACATGGTAATTCTTCAGTTAGGGGGGAGGGACAGAGGAAGAGAGGGAGGAGGGCAGGAA